GGTTCGTGGCTCCTATCTGGTTGTTGCGAATAGTGTTATTATTGTGATTGATACCAGTATTGTTACTATCATTTGTTGTTGTTACTGTGGGTATTGCTATCATTACTACTCTCAGGATTATTGTTATCATTATATCAGTGTTTTTTTAATTGTGCAGCCTCTGAGCCCGCCGCGTCGGATTTAAAACTGACAAAGCTGCACCCGAGTAGGACAATCGCTGCCTCAGCAACAGGGTACTGGTCAGCTGATCAGCTCAGGCCACATCGTCCCGCAGTCTGGGCATGGCACATGGTATCGGAATGGGATACCTCATCATCAGACCGCCTACACATGCCGCTTGATAATATTCTCGACCACACATGTACGATCTCACTTGATCTGTAGTCTCAACTCCTAGTCTCCTCCCTAAACAATCCCTATAGTAGACCCCTATATAACTTCCTATATAACCGCCCTTGCAGGAGTTGAGACTACCGCTCACTTGTGCTGGCCAGGCGCTTCTCTCTCTGATAAGAGTTGTCGCACGGGGCAGGCTGCATCCTATGATTGCCAAATGCCTCGGGTGATCTCCAGTTCCACCGGGGGCTAAATAACTTACGAGCTCATTTGGGGCTATATGGAGGTTACATAACGCTTATAGGGTTACATAGGCATTACAAAGGGGTGTAACAGGGTTCAGGCCGACGTCTTGCAAGCAGCCTACCTTTGGCTAGCTAGGAATGAAGGAATGGATCCTTATAGCAGTCCCTATAGAACCCATCGTAGCAGCTTCAATTTCCTGTTCCATTCCTCCATTCGCAGCTAATCAAAAGTATGTCGTTCCACAAATTTCTATTTCATTTATCCCTATGTATCCCTACTACCCAAAGGTAAGCTGAACCCTAATACCTACACACTGAACCGAAGCCAAGGAAGATGGGTAAGAGCTGGGCAGGCAAAAGCTGATAAACAGCGGTGACCCAGGATCTCCCCGCAGGACCTGTGACACAATCAGGGTTGTTCTAGGGTATATATATATATTGGGGTTATAGTAGGGTTTTAGGGTTTAGGGTTTGGGATAATGGAAAAGAAAATGGAAACTACTATAGTATGCTGGGGCTATTAGTAGGGATAATGGAAAATGAGGGTTGTTCTCAAAATTATGAGCCCCTTTAGGGGTACCAAAATGGGACCCTGATTTCGGGAACTACCCATGAGCCTTGGAATAGGATCTTACTTTACACTAAGGTGCTGGCCATGTTGTATGGAACGACTGAAGCCACACCAATCACCACTGCCAGCACCTGAGTCTTTTGCTGTTTGCTCTCAAGCTGCCTTCTGTATCCTGTCCAGGAAGTGGACGGCGGCTGGAACGAAAGGTTTCGTGTCCTTCAATCGGCAAGTTTAGCTGCCTGTAGTGTGTTGGGACAAAAAGTGGTATTATAGTGGACGGATTTGAGTGGCAGGTTCTGCGGGTTCTCTGCAACTGGGAGAATGAAACCATGGCCAGATGCCGTGAGGCCCCACAACCGAAAGCTCAGGCAATGTGGCTACTGAGGTACATCTTTGACAAGCCAAAGCCGAAACTTGCCATGCTCCTGGCTGACCAAACGCTTTTGGGTAGGCATCCAGTGGCAGCAAAGCAACTATTACTTAAGTGACCCGTCCTTGGCTCGATGCAGCTGCCGAGTGGTGGCCCGTCTGATGAGGCTCTGCTGCTGCACCGTTTCATCCTGGCAAGAATGTTGACATGCCATGCGAAACGGTCCCGTCAGTCTTTCGCTCCCTGCATGACTGCTACTAGTAGCGTTGTAGCTTTGTAAAGCTCCGACTTTCTTCGCAAGTCTGCAATTTGCTTTCGCAAATACAAAATGATGTGCCAAAGGTGCTCTCTTTAGCAGCAGGCGCTCCTCCAGTTTCACGTCGGCCAAATCTTCTATCGACTCCAACTGAAGCAAGCGCTAGCTGCCAGCTGCCACTTTTGCAAGAGTTCTGGACGGACGGCCTGCGTTTGCAGTCCATCAGGCAAGCCTGTGTGCAAAACCTGGGCTCAGGACTGTTGTAGTTCTGCGCTCTGGAGGGAAACTAACTCTGCTGATCTCTGCTGCTGAAGGTTGCTTGGGTCGCTGGCGTGCGTTGCGTGCGTCATACGGTAAACAGCATCAAATTTCAGCCTTGCCACCTGCAGGGCCAGCTGTCACAGAGACATAGATACTTCAAACAGGCATCATGTGACGAGGCCTTCCACTTGCTGGAGCCACTGTGGGAGGACCTTCACGATAAGTGCACACATGCAGGACTTCCAGGGCGTTCTCCGCTCGGTCACTGGCATTGTAAGGCCCTCCAAACTTCTTTGGTGGCTTCCGGCAGCTAGGACGGAGCCGCCTCTGTCAGGTGCTTCAGCTGCAAGAATTGTATGACTTCAATGATTTACGGTGGGCGATGAGTGGTCTACGCAAGCAAACGGCCTCCGTCTGCAGGGTGCACTGGCAAGACTCTTGTACGCTTGAGCCAGCACCAAAGCCAACATGAAAAGGCCATTTCAGTTATGCATGTGAGCTATAGTTTAAACTCCTAGTATCCCCTTAATAATCCCATATAGTAGGCCCCTATAGAATCCCCTATATGACTCCCTTAAAGGAGTTTAGACTATGGCTCATGTGCAACAAAATATTGGATCCTCGCACACATTTTCTGAGGCCTCAGGGTTGGATGTCCACCAGTGCCAGAAACTGCTTCCCAGGCCTGCGCATTGTTCTGTATCGGCCACGAATGCTTGCAACTTAGGATTTAGGGCTTATAGTCCCCCTTCTTTAGTAGATAGAATATAGCTTTGAGTATATTATAATAAGATCCCCATATACCCCATATTCTATCTACTTACTTAAGGGGAATATAGGGGTTCAGGGTTTGAAAGCAACCTGAGCCCGACGTTGCGCCAGTGAAGTTCACTCTCTCCAGGTCAGCAGCCTGCAGCCAGGGCTGGTCGAGTAACGTGGTAGTTTCCATGAATAGGGAGACCCCAATATAGACCCCAAGGTGCTAAAATCTTGATTTTAGGCACTGCCCAGTAAGGTATCCCTAATTCGGGGAAACCCTAAACCCTAGATCCTATATAACCTGCATATAGTGTTCTGCGCCTCCAGCCAAGAGCAGAACACCATCTCAGCACTCGGCCTTGACACTTTCAGAAGTTGACAGAATAGAGCTTAAGGTTCAGGGTTGAGGGTTATAGGTTAGGGTTCAGGTTTTAGGTTACAGCACAGTAGGTTCGCATAAGCAGGGGGACCCCAATATACACCCCAGAATGCTATCATAATCCCTACTATAAGTACCACCAAAATGGCATCTCGAGTGTTGGGAAACCCTAAGCCCTAAAGTCTATATAGCCCCTACATCCCCTTAAGAGGGATCCCCTAACTGAGAGGGAACCCAGAAGATGCCTAAAACGGGCTTTAGGCTGACGTCCAGCCAAGGCTCACTGCTGGTCTGGTTCTGCTCTGCTGAGCCTTGCAGGCTCCGGCATTGTCTGACTGAGGGTTGGTAGGGAAGAGGGGAATACAATATATAGTCCCCCTTAAGTAGATAGAATATGGGGTATATGGGTATATTATACTAATACAACCATATACACCATATTCTATCTACTTCAGGGGGACTATAGGGTTTTGGATTTCGGGCTTAGGGTTAGTAGGGAATCAGGTAAATCGCTTAAACAACGGAGCTGCCATCCAGAATGTGTGTGTGTGCTGTTTGAATAGCTGAATTCCGACTGAAGAACGTTTCAGACAGGCGCACCTCCCACACATGCACAGAAACCCTAAACCCTAAACCTTAAACCCTAAACCCTAAACGTTAAACCCTAAACCTTAGACCCTAAAACCCTAAAACTCCTGAACTGTGGGGCGGCCTTCCAGCACCAGAAGTCCGGACTTTCCCTGGCGATCTGGCTCTTCTTTCGGATAACCTGGGTTTAGGGGTTTAGGGTTCAGGTAGGGTTTAGGGTTTAGGTATGGTTTAGGGTTTAGGCTTTAGGGTCTAGGTATGTTTTAGGGTTTAGGGTTCAGGCTTGCTCAATATTGGCAGTAGCTCACCTTGTAAAGGAGGATGTAATCTTACTCTAGATTTTCGGTCCTGCCCACGCCCAACAACAGTCTATAATAGGGATCATCTTAAGGGCTCTACAGGCTCTATGTATTTATATCATACATGTTAGGTACCCAATCTATACTGGGTAGCATAATATCCCGAAATACAAGACTTCTCACCTGAGCAACAGCACGATCTCTATACTTCGGCACTGCCGGCCAAGCTTCTGGCAGCAGCTGCGTGAATGTGGTCCTTGGTACCCAACTGTGTGATATGGGTTTTCCAGAATTAGGGGTATCTTTAAAGGGATATAGGGGTTACATAGGGATAGGGGCAATATGGGGGTTATATAGGGTTTCCCAAAATTAGGGGTACTTTTTTCTGGGCCCCCAATCACAAGGATTATAGTGTATTGGGGGGTGAAGTTTCTACTGAATAGCACGTGTTGGGGGCGCTGAGCGACGGGCTGCAGGCAATTCCACATCTACCACACCACGGACCTAAGTGAATCACGTTGTCAGCAAACAAATGAGCTCTGCCGCAGCCAAACCAACATTGCTGGCCAATGTATTGTGGCCGGAAAACCCTGCAGTCATAGGCATGGTGCACATGCTGGACATCTTCAAGCTTGCAGTGGACTCTGGATGACTATGGCCGTTTGAGATCTCTGGGCTTTCTTGTACAGCAAAGCAGGACAGGCTTGCACGGCAGTCTTGCTTTTGCTTTGCTTCGTGATCTTATTGCAACACGGAACCCAGACCCGTTACCGCCCAACACCACGACCACGACCACCACCCCCACTCGCCGCCGCCGCCCCCGCCGCCGCCGCCGCCAGCAGCAGCAGCAGCAGCAGCATTAGCGGCAACATTAGTCGTCGTCGCTGCGAGGAGGAGAAGTAGTAGCAGTGGTGCCGCGACAGCCATCATCATTTCATGCCTGACTGTGATGACTAGGAGGCTCAGCGCGTTCTGCAACAGCACCACAATACTTCAATGCCTTGGTGCTGGACATGTCCAAAAAACCTGTCGTACCCAAACGTGGCACGATAGTCCAGCCTCATCAGCTGTCGCTTTGACGTGTTTTGTGCAGCGTTTTCTGTACATGTTGTGATGTTTTTGAGAACTGTCGTGTGAACTATGGTCTAAAGTCCTAGTATCCCCCATAATAACCCATATAATACTCCCCTATGTAACCCCACTTTAAAGAGTTGAAGCTGTAGCTCATGTAGCCTTTTCTCGCTGCAATGTGCCCCTGCCTGCTTTAGAGATAATCCGATGAGATTCCAACCAGACACTGGCAGAGACTTCTTGGCCAACTGCCTCAACCTGGGCCCACAACAGGGGGATTCCCAAAATTAGGGGTGCTCTTGTGGGGGTCTCTATAATAAGGACTATCGTATTTTGGGGTCTATCTTGGGGTCCCCTTATTTTGGGAAACTACCAAAAGGAATAAATGGCCCCTGGCTGCTGACAGCAGTTGGAACAACTTCAGTTGGGGCTTCCACCACCAGGGCAAACGCCACCTGAGCTTCAGAAGCACACGGCAAGGGGAACCATCTCAGCTTGCTAGACCTCATGATCTGGGCCAGATGGATCGAACTGCTGAAAAAGCAAACTGCTTCCTTAGCTCTCACATGGACGCCTCTGCGTGGGAGAGGGTCTCAGAATCGTAAATCAATCGACGACCTGGCAAACATGCTGCAGGCCCATGTTCTCACGTCCCCTCAATTCGATCAAGGAAGCCAATCCAAAAAAAGATAAGTTTCCATTTTCTTTTTCATGATCCCCATATAACCCCTATATAACCCCAATATATACCCTATTCTAAAAGAGTAGTAGGCAGCCTTGCACTTTTGGAACCCTGATGGACAATTGCTGCTTGCCTACCTCGCAATTTTTTCGAGAACTCGTCCGCTAGCAAGTGAAGCCTGAGTTGCATGGTCATTCTATCAACTGCCTGCCTTGCCAGAAACAAAAAGTGTCGACTGTGCCCAGCACTCATCCCACTCAAGCAGGAAGGTAGTGACCTTTGCATGATGGAAAAGAAGATGGAAGCTACTATAATATATATGTGTATTTGCGGGATATGTAGGGGTTTATATCAGCATAATGGAACAGAAAATTGGAACTACAATATACGTCGCAAGCGAACAGCCTGGAAAGACTTTTCTCTGCGGCTAATAAGCCCCTGGCACTAATCATTTCGTCCTCCGCAGCTGCGGCTGCCTTTGCCGTGGCCTCAACATCAAGTAGGGTTTCCGGTCCGTGTTTGGTGGTACCTGAAGTAAGGATTGCAATCATTGGAATACATTGGGGTCTATGTTGCGGTTTTGCTACTTACCGAAACTACCAAGTGTCTTGATTCCATTGTCCTCTATGAGTCCTCAATTTTACGCTCGCACCAACGGAACCTTTTTGGGACGCCAAGTCTTTGCCACAACCCTGAAACGGCAGCTCCTCTTTGTGAGCCGACAGTCACTGCGAAAAAGGAAACCTTTTTCAGCCCAAGGTGTTGGGCCAGTTGTCAAGTGAGCCATAGTCAAAACTCCTAGTATCCCGCGTAATGACGCCCAAATTATCCCCATACAATCCCCTACATCATCCCCTTAAGGAGTTTAGACTCTAGCTCAAGAAGGGAATATCATGGGCAGGCAACTTCGGCTCCACTATCTTCATCTGAGAGGCTTCCGGCTCCTTCTGCCTCATCTAAACTCCCGCCACGCAGAAGTCTGACACTGCTCAGGAAGGCTTCAACTTGCTCGCAAGTGTCAGACGCCTCGCCAGCCTTCTCATCAACAGCTGTGATGATCGCAGAAATGATCTGAGGTGCCAGGATGTAATCATCTGCATTGTGCGAAGGAACTGCCGAAGAAACGTCAACACAGGAGCAGTCAGGAGGCAGCGGCTCCGACATACCTCGAAAACCCATAGCAGCATCAGACTTAAAGCCACACCCAGCAGTCACTTCGGCGAAGCTGAATCCGCCGGCCAACACAGCGTCGTTTTTGGAGTAGAAGGCCGTGATGCGTCGGACCGCGAGTGACGCACGGGGAAAATCTCCAGTGTCGCTCAAGGCGTCGTGAAGAACGGCAGCTCCAATCAACAACATGTTCGCAACTAGATCATCCGGGTGGGCATCCTTCACAGCAGATAGGGCCACCCTCGCCCCTAAAGAGTGGCCAACCACAGTCACTGTGCATCCCCTGGAGCGTAATGTCTGGAGGAGAGCTCTCAGTCTCATAGCCGAACCTGGAACCTTAGCGCGTGCTCCAGCATATGACGTCTTGTGGCTTGGCCACAGGAAGCCAATGACATTCGTTCTATTTCTTGCCTCATCCAGCTTTCCATGTGGCTGCATGCGGAGCCGTTGCTGCAGCAGATACAAGAAGCTCATCGCTCTGTGGAAAGGTGTTCGAAATCCTGGAATGGATCTTTTGGTCCTATAAACATCCAGTTTCCATGGTTTCATAAGGAGGAATTGTGGTCCATAATCACCAAAACTGTTCCAGGAATGTCCAGATGCCATGCGCGTAGATAAGCACTTGGCAATCGTTCAATTCGCATGGGAAGTCAGAAGTAATTCCAGACCCATCCACACTCCAGTACCTTTAATCCCCCTAAGACCTGCAAAGAAAAGCATTCTCTTGAGTAGTTCACCAGGGTTATACTATAAACCCTACACCCTGATCCCTAAACCCTATGTATCCGTATATACCCCTATATGACCCCTCTAAACCCTTTAAAGGACTTAAAAATGATACCAAAGGGAATAAGAGGTACTCGTAAGCTCCCCACGTTTCTGCCTTGGCCTCTTTATTCCTACATGAGGCCGAATGGATTTTAGAGAGTTTGGCAGCTTCCCCAGATGGATGCAGGAAAAATTGGCAATGGGCATCTACCTTTATCCTTTGAGCTTCTTTCAGAGTTCTTGCTTGTGCTTTGAACAGCTCGCACTTCTGCCCATGCTCACAGAAGTGGCGGCAATCTGGCTGATACAGCTGGCAGTCCTCAAGCAAAGTATCAAGCTGCACAGGTGGCCGGCAGGATGCAATCCAAAGATCCTCGTCATAGTAGGGAGGCGGCAACAAAGCAACCTCAGCCACAACCGCTGAGTCTGCACAGCCTTCCGTAACCCTTGGATCCAATATCACCTCGCGGAAAAATTGTCGCTGGCGCTCTGCGTAGTAGTCAGGATCAATCACGACGCAGTCCTTCGGCATCCCATGCTTCAACAGGTGGTACAACCTCATCGTGAGTCCATACTCCACCAGAAAGTCAATGATGCCAATGAAGTAGAAGTGCTTCTTGTCTGCGCTTTGCAGGACCTCTGCTCCATAGTCTTCACCAGTTGCATCCGACTGCAAGCCAACGCCCACGAGGATGCTGTAGTCCATAATATTGCACATACTGAGGAAAGTAGTATCAAGGTCATGCATCTGTCGTAGCCGCAGAGAATCGCTTGCAGATAGCTGCAGCCGCTCAGAATCATCCAACCAGTTCCTGGGATAGAGTTGGGGTCCTATAAATGGCTTTAAAGGAAATGTACAGGGATTAAGGGTAGTCATGACCAAACAGTATTCCCAAGAATATGCCAGTTTCTGGTCCTTCCTGACAAACTCGGATTCCACGTCAAGGACATGGCGGCCGACTGCACAGCCCTTCAAGTCATAGAGCGAAAGCAACGGCAGCTGTGGTAAGGGATCCATAACAGATTGCATGATAGTTATGTAGCGAGACCCCTGAAGCCCACCCCGGCCGAGATTTAGGCGAAACAAGGCCAAGTACTTTCCCAACATGGATCCCACCCCGTCGCCGCACACCCGCTGCACGTACCTCAGTTGTCCAGGATGTTACCTCAACAAACCCTCAACCCTACATGGTAGTTTCCATTTTTTGTCCAATTATCCCAATAACCCCCCCAGACCTACATGGTAGTTTCCATTTTCTCTTCCACTATCCCACCATATCCCCATGAATATTCAGTGGTCAGGTAAGGTACTTGGGCATCACGTCCATGAGAGCCTGGGCCTCTTTCCGCGAAATTGTCTTGATGATGAAGCTTCCGTTTGCCGACGTCAAGAAGACTGCGCCCGAGCGACTGTTTGTAGTGAAAGACTGGCAGGGGGACCCGGGGTCGCCCAGTTCTTTCCTGGGTTGCTGTTAAGGTACAGTATCATAATATGGGTAAATCGTAAAGAATAACTGGGCTTCCTTGTCATAGTAACCTAAAGAGAGTTCCCTAAACCCTAAACCCTAAGCCCTAAACCCTTAACAGCAATCCAGTTTCAGAATTTTAGCATCGCTTAAGCTCGGGACGTCCTTTCGCAGGCGATCCAGCAAATTCAGGCCGAAGGAGTGAAACGTAAAGCCTTCATCCATGTCCAAGCCTCTGGGTTGCTGTTAAGGAACTTAGGGTCTAGGATTTAGGGTTTAGGGTATAGGGTTTAGGCTTTAGGGTATTGGGTTTAGGATTTAGGGTATAGGGTTTAGGATTTAGGGTTCGGGGCTTAGGGAACTTTTTAAAAGCTACTATACAAAGGAAGCCCCATTATTTACTAGTACCCAAACTATGGTAACTTAATTTAAGTACCATAGCAGCAAGCCAGGCCTGTCAAGTTGCAGCGGCCAGAAGGGACCACAAACTTACAAGATTCGACCAGCCAAGAAGATTGGAGTGAACGCTGACCAAATAGTGGCTGCATGAAATCCTTGGGGATTCTAGGGTATATAGGGGTAAAGGAAAAGAGAAAATGGAAACTGCTATATTGGGCTAGATAGGGTTTAGGGATTCAGGGTTTAGGGGTTTAAGGTTTCGGGGTTTAGGGCTTAATAAGGAGACCCCAAAACAAAAAGGGAAATAAGTACTACTGGGTTACCTAGAATCCTCGAGTTGCGTAATGATCTGCCTGAGCTTTGCAGCTTACAAGGCGTATGCACAACTGGAATGGAACTATTGTAGTCTCCAGAAATGAGGACATACCCCAATATAAACCCCCAACTACTATAATCCTTATTCTAGGGACCCCCAAAACGTTACCCATAATTTTGCCAAACCCTGATCCCTATTAACTACCAATACAATCGCAATTTCCACATCATGTTCCATCTTCTTTCTCATTTGATTCTCCAATTTTGGCGGTAATACCCCTAAACCTTAAGCACTAATCCCCAATCCCTAACCCTAATCCTTACACACTAAACCTGCACAGAATTAGTTGGTGACTTCTGGTGTCAAGGCTCCTGCTGCTGTGAGAAACCTGGATCATCCTGGGATAGATTTTGAGTGTTGGGTTCAGGGATTAGGATTTAGGGGGTTTTGGGTTAAGGATGATTTAGGGGCCCTATAGAAATTAATTATGTTTAAGGCTATCATCCTGGGATAGATTCAAGGTTTGGGATGATTTAGGAGCCCTATGAACATCGATTCTGTTTAGGGCTGTATAAGGAATATGTTGGGATACTAGTCCACAATGATTAACCATTCTTCTCAGGAAAGCCCCAGCATCAAGGGTATGGCAAGGGCTATCTTGGCAGCCGTGCTTTGCCCCGACTCAGCCGGCGCAGCTTCGCTCGATTCGTCATACCTGGTGTTTCCTAAAATGGGGGGACCCCAATATGGTCCCCAATTTTCTATCATCCTTATTATAGGGACCCCAAAGAGGTACACCCAATTTTGGGAATCCCCCACCTTTTTGTCAAGGCCCTGACAATGGGGTCTGCCTTCTTAAGGAGCATCGGCAGTGCTTCTGATCGGATTCCCTGTTCTGTTGAAGGCTCCGGTACGTGCCAACTTTCTGGCTTCCAGTCTGATTCCAACACGCTGAAGGCTACAGTTTGGAGAAATGCCTTCAACTTTTCCAGCTTAGCCTTACTGTGGGGTTAGTAGGGAATAGGGGAAAGTTTATCTAGGGACGATGTAGGGATTCCATTCCCTTATTCCAGGTAGCCTCAGCTGTATGTATCTCATCTAGCTCCGGATCCTCAGCGGCGCTTTGCAGATCGGACCATGCCTTGGCCGCCTCGCCTTCCACGTCTTTTTCCATAATTTCCGTGCCAATCTCGACGAACATATGGGCAAACCTTACCATCGCATTCTGACTGAGGGTCTTCTTGGTAACGAGGATGAGGAAGTAGGTGAAAAGCAATTTCCTCTCGTCTGCTTCGCAGCTCATCTGCCATTGGGCAAATGTCAGCAGCTGCATGAAATTGATGGACGAGTCCTTCCCCAGAATGCCCCCCAAGTTGCCTAGATGTTTGTTGATCAACGGCACTGCAGCCGATGCCACTGCCGAAGCTACGGCAGAGGCTGCTGCCGGCGGCTGCATGCTTTGAATCATAGTGGATGCAGAAGAACCAGAACCCATTGCTGCAAGAGGATGGATTCCCCCTAAAACCCTAAACCTTAAACCCTACAACACCCATATCCCCCCTCAGCAAGGTGCAGATGCAGGATGGAATTTCTTGAGCAGGAGGGGCTGTTTGACATCCCTTTCGAAGCTTCTGAGCTTTGCTTGTCGGACTCAAGATGGAAGCATTGTTTTAAACTGTTTTGTAGGGTTATATAGGGATAATGGAAAAGAACTATAGTATATAGGGTTTGGTAATGGCACAGGAGGGCTCGCCTGTGTGATTCTCAAGGCTTTGCGCGTTTGGTCGCCTTCCTGAAAAATTCTTGGGCTGCAAACAGACAGGATATAGTCCCCCTAATTAAATAGAATATGGGACATATGGGGATCTTACCATAATAGAAACAAAGCCATATTCAATCTACTAAGGCAGACCAAAATTGTCTGCCGCCCCTTTCGAGGGTTTTACAGGGCTTGGATCGGGAGTAGGGAGATTCAGGGTTTGAGGCGTTTCCGAGACTTATGGCTTCTTTTTGAGGGAGCTTCAATATTAAGGGTTCTAGTATGTTGGGGTCCAGGCTGCAACGGCTACTTGACAGCGATGACACGAAGCAAAGATGGGAAAAACAAGCGGTTTTGGGTTTAGAGTTTGTCTCAGGGTTTGAACACACAGGGGGAATGGTAACAATTTCCAAGCACTCTCTCTTGTCTGGGAGCTGGGCAGCCTGCATGCTCCTAACAAACCCTAAGCCCTAAACCCAAAAACCACCCCTGGATACCCAACAGCCTGAACAAAATGACAACGTACTTTTCAAGCAGGCAATGCCACAGGTGCTAAGGCTTTAAGCCCTAAACCCCCTAACCCCCCTAAACCTTAAACCCCCTAAACCCTCACAGCGGCTTCTGAGACGCTGACCTTCTTTGTAGGGCCACATCTGTACAGGTGCGCGAAGGAGGAGTCCAGCTTTGGGAATCCCTTAGCACAAAAGGCTTTAGGGCTTAGAAAAAATTAGGTAATATGATGGCAATTACATTTATAATTGTAATACTATTGTTGCCTTTATTATTACTGCTACCTTTTTTCTGGGGTTTAGGGGTGTTAGCGCTGCTTAGCAGCTCAGCAGAGTCTGACCAGCACGCCTGCTGCCCACAAGACGACAAGGATAGATGCCAACCATTCTGCTAATGATACGTGGGAACTAGGGTTATGTAGCCGCATCTCTTATCATGGCAAATCAAACGGAACCGAACATGGGAAAATGAAATGGAAACTAGGCTTGTATAGGCGTATAATCGCTGTATAACCCTTCGTATGTCTAGCAAAGTAGCGTTGTTGGAGGCGTGCTGAGTATGCCGAGCCCGCAGCATTGTTCACAGCACCCTCTAAAACCACACGGGCATCCATCGTCGGCGGCCCTGGCTCCTTTTAGGTTTCGTCAAAAATGCAGAATCAAATGGAGAAGAAGAACAACGAAATGGAAGCTGCGGTTGTACTGGGGTATACTCCTTACATAATTCCTATATAAGCTAGTCTGAGCTTTTAGGGCCCCCCTTAGTAACCCCTATAATACCACCTCTATGTAAGATCCTTTAAGGAGTTTACACCCCAAATCCTCAATCCCTAAACCCTAAGACCATAAATCCAACCTCCTATTCATCCCTGTACAGCCCTCATATTTCTGTTTGTTAGAGAAGGCCCTGACTGCTTTTGGGCTTAGTCTGGCGTGAGCCCTCTACAATCACAGGTTCCAAGTTCTAAGTTCTCCAGGTGGCCCCAAACTTGCAGTCCTGAATCCTAAATCCTGGACCTCGACATAACCCTACATCTTCACCAGGTTATAGGGGAGTACCTACATAATCCTACACATATTTACATATATATATATATACATCTAATATCTAAATCCTGAACTCCTGAACCCATGATTTCAGAACCAGGTGAGTCCTCGCCGCGATGAATGCGAGACCAGGCCTGAAGCAACAAGCCTGCACAAGGCATGGATGAACAGGGAACCTTCAAGGTTATATAGGGTTATGTAGGGGTAGACTGGGGATTAAATAGGGTTTATATAGGGTATGTATACATATATATATATATAGCTTAGGGTTTACGGTTTATGCCGCTTCCAGGGAGGATTCAGTAGTGCTCGTGCTGCTACTGCTGCTACGAAGAGTCTGGGCACGCCAGAATTGTGTGGTCTTTGGTACTTGCGGCGCTCAAACAGGCACTTCAACCGGAACCCCCACACCATCTGGTAAACAGGAAGCCCCAGATAGAGCTCTCAATATGCTATGGTCACTATAGTCCTTACTGTAGGTACCCCTCTCAGATATGATCCAGGCACTTTTTGAAGGCCTGCCTCTTGGGCCGCGGGAAGTCTGGGGAATCTTGCTGCTTTAGACCAGACGAAGAATGAAGAATATACAATATATGTGATAGATAACATCACACGCATTTATAACACTATGTTATACAATCATGTCTAGAATACCTCCTAAACCCTAAGCTTCGGCTACCGCATCAAAAAAGGCTTGTCGCTTCCACTGCCATGGCGGAAGCTTGCAGGTGGGCAGCAGGCAATGGAGGTATGTATGGATCCATATCCTAATTCCCTAATAATCTACTAAAAGGACGGAACCCCGATATAGACAACAAAGCAACATAATCCCAATGATGCAATGATAAGTTGTTCCCAAAAAAGGGGGCCTCAATCTGTTCAAGCCCCTCTAAACTATTCCTCCATTTTCCTTCTAAGCTCCTGGAGGATATAACCCCTAAACTCCACACCTTAAACCCGATAACCCTTAAACCCTAAACCCTATAGAACATAATCCCTCAACCCTTAAGCTTCAACCGTGCCTATGCCCTCCACATCTGCCAAGCCCTGTGAGAAGCTGAGGGCCAGGATCTGGCCGTCCTACGGTGTTTTTGGTGTAGGGTTAAGGGTTGAGGGTTATGATGAAAAAGAACATGGAAACTACCATTTGGGGTCTAGGACCTCGGTTTCAGAGAGTAGTGGGAAAGAACTTGGAAACCCTGTACGACTTAAGATTTAGGGTTCATCGGAAATAAGGGATGCTCAAATTGGAGCTCCTACATGATTTAGGGTCTGGTTTAGGGCTTAGAATTGCAGTTACCACCATGGAGACTCAAAGGGAGAGAACATGGAAAATGATGCGGAAACTGGCGTTTATACGAATTCAAGGAACTTCAAGTTAGTGGCCAATGTAAGGAAGCTTGGATGAAGGAAATTCTTGCACCACTTAGTAACCCCAAAATATTCCTCCATCCACAGTATCAGATTTCAAGTTCGCAAGTGCTTCTTTCGCAGGGGTTCATGGAGCTCGGCAACGTCCTATCAGAGTAGGGCGTTTGACCGCTGACCCGAACACCTGGTGAAACGAGAGGCCTTCAGCTAATTGCACTTCAATCTGTAATTCTTGTTAGTAGGAAATAAGCGAATGCACTATATAGGGAGCACGCTTGCAAGATGATTTTCATGTAACACCCGGCAAGTCCTCGTACTCCAAGAGTTTTACCTGAAGCATCTGCACTGGCAAATCGGATTTTGCTACTTGGCTCTATGACTGGGTTGCTGCTAAGGAACTTAAATTCAGGATTATGATAAGGAAACCCTAGAATTTACAATATACCCATAACATGGTATCTTCGTTAAAGGTCCTCAACTGCAACCCAATATGAGCTATAGTCTTAACTCCTAGTATCCCCCTTAATAACCCCTATAGTACTCCCCTAAGTATATAATCCTATAATCCCAGTGTCCATTTCATTTTCCATTTTCTTTTCCCTTTGATTCTCCATCATTGGGGGTAATATCCCTAAATCCCTAAACCCCAAACCCTAAACCCTATATAACCCCATATGACACTGAGAAGGTTGCCCTTAGGAGTGGTCCACCTTCGGCGTCGGCCTGCAGACTATAGCAATGCAAGCCTGATCAGGCCTGACTGACTTAGTTATGTCGTGGTTTCCAAAAATAGGGGTACCATTCTAAGGGGTCCAAATAGTGAGGATTCCAGGAAGTCTGGGGCTCCAGGTATGTAGTGGGAATCTTGCGGCGTAGCCTAGCCCGGTTCTTACAGCTCCGCCTGCCCTAAACCCGACATCCACAAACCCGAAATCCCAGTGCCCACCCTAAACCCTAAACCCTAAACCATTTGTCGCGTCACTGCCTTCAGAGTTTCAATGGCTCGATCAAATAGGCCAGTGATGGGCCCAAGCACCTTGGGAGGCATTTCACGGTAATATGCAATACCGTGCTTAGTCTACTATAATTTATATACTATACTTTGCTATAATAATATACTATAATGTACTACAATGTACTATAGTATACTATAGTATACTATAATATGCTATAATATACTATAATATATACTATAATATACTATAATTTGCTATAATATTCTATACTTTAAGTGTTCACCTTAACATGGGGCTACCTGAGATCATGATGACTGCGTTGCTTGGAGCACTCAGAAGTTTACAGGGAGTGCAAACTCCAGGCGGGAGAGCAATCTACTGTGTTATCACCGCTGTTACCCTGCCGAGGCCCTCGCGGATGGTCGGATTCCAGCACACTGGCTATGGTTGAAGCCCACTCCGGCCTCACAAACAAAAAGCTTGCCATGATGTTGTGCTTTCTTGGCTTGTATCGATGGATGTCGAGCGGCACGCAAAACTTAACGATGTTGGCTTTGGCACAGATTATGGATGGACCGCGTGTACAGTGGAGAACAGCAACCGCCGTGACAAGTGAACGGGAATCAAATTCGCACAGGACCTCCAACTTGCAACGCGCTGTAGATTGAGGGCCTTTTTTTTTTTTTTTTTT